ATCGAGTATGACCTCGTTTCACTGGGTCAGACCTGAAGAGGCGATGACAATCCTCACAGTCCTTTCAGGCAGACTTCATAAAACCCAAAAGCAATTAACTTGTTCGATATGTCTCTATCCGTAATGTGATCTGTTGGCAAAGTATTGTGGTGATGTTGTTCCTAGACGAGGCTGTGCGTGTGAGAGCCAGCGGCGGGCGGGGGAGGGCGGGCGGGCCTGTGACGGCGCTGCTCTCGCCCCCCCGTCACGTAGAGCCCGAGTGTCGCCCGCCATCAGCAAGCGGGCGTGAGACAAAGGACATCAAATCTGTGTATTAGCATACCCAGATTTATGGTTCCCTTTGGACGCATACGTACGCGCGCGTGTGTATGTATGTACGAACGTAGGACTCGTAGACGTTCGTACGTGCAGACCTACGTGCGGCGGCGTCACAGGGGACCTCCCGTTCCTCCTTCGCCGTGAGCTCTGGATTCTGCGTGCGTGTGCGTGAGAATGTACTGTCTGTGCGTGCGCGTGACCGTACTGTCTTGCCTGCGTGAGTGTATTGACAATGCATCTGTGTTGTTAGATGTTAGGCTGTATTCGTGTCAAGCGTCTGTGACCTGTGGTAGTCTGTTAGGTAGCCAAATAGGTTTGCTGTCCAGAGCTTTATATGCTTCACGAAGAGTAAAGTAAAAAGACCTCCAAAAAAAAAATATGTGGAAAGGGCTGAAGCAACATACAGAGCCCTCAGTCTGTTTTGATTACGAAGCATTATAGGATTTGATAGAACTCTGGTGTACTCTTTTTTCTGTAAGATGTCACAATATATATCATTTAGTGTTTGAATGCGTAAGAAGAGAATTTTTTGTGTAAGCCAACCGTTAATAAGCCCGGTTTTCCTGATGCTTTTTTGTATGGCGACGGACGCCTTGGGTTGACTGGCGGCCTCGCTTCGTGCTCTGTGCCCTTAGGTCGAATTTCCCTTGAACTCATGCACCCTCGTCGATCTTAAGCACCCGATGTGTCTCCTGATTGGCTGGCGATGCTGTGACGTGCTCTCTCTCTCTCTCAGCCAATCAGAACACAGGAAATGGGAGGATTCGACTCAAACGGTTCATGGGTTCAGCGAAGGAGCTTCTGGGACTCTACACGGAGCCTGGACGTTCAGAAGACCCTTGTCCATTGCCTTAGTCCTATTTAGATTGAAGTGTGGCCTAGTAGACAAGTAAAATTTATTGATAGGCCTATTAACAATTTCGACGCGGCCATTATCGCTAGGGGCGGCGTTCTGCAGGCGTTCTTGTATCAAATAAGAAAAAAAAAACGAAAAAAAGATAAATTATATGATAGTAAAAAATATAAAAATGTATAATCCCTTCTAAAATCCGAAAAAAATAGAAATGTCACTAACCTGTTGTCGATAAATATCTGATCGACCGCAAATGAGTTTTATGGCAATTATCGCCGCCAGTCACATGATGGCTATTACTGTTGGTCTCCTCTGAATTAATTTCCTGTAGACTGATGTAGAGACACTCTCGAGCGATCCGGGAAATACTAAATACTACACGAGCTTTGTGAGGCTAGGATTCAGGGATGTTCGTGTGTTCTAGTACTGCATAATTCTTTTCTTCTTGTTCTTCTTGTTCTTTTGCTTCCTTTTCTTTCTTCTCTCACTCTCTCTCTCTCTATCTATCTATTATCTATTTACTTTCTCTCTCTCTCTATCTATCTCTCTCTCTCTCTCTCTCTCTCTCTCTCTCTCTCTCTCTCTCTCTCTGTCTCTCTCTCTCTCTCTCTCTCTCTCTCTCTCTCTCTTCTTCTCTCTCTCTCTCTCTCTCTCTCTCTCTCTCTCTCTCTTCTTTCTATTTATGCAATGTTAGAACATATAAAGAAATACAGAATATAATTTCTTGTCTCAAAAAACAGTTACCTATTTCTGCATTTTATCAATGACAGAATGGTAGAGGCTTTTAAATAAACATTAATTAATCTTAAAAGAAAGGCATATATAGGCCCAGAAGAGGCTTTATATGATAAGAGGCCTGTATCACATTGTTTCTCACATATCCAGAAGGCCTAACAAAAATAAATAAATGAATTGATTAAAAAAATAATAATGAAAAAAATGATAATAATGATAGATAAATATTTCCCGAAATAGCCTCTATACAAAACGTTCTTTCGTCCCACGTTAAGAAGCTGAGTATAAGAAGCACAAGTAAGTCAAGGGATTTCTAAGATTTAAGGCAAGCGTTTAGCATTATGACCGAGACCCCTTTCAGCATAGGATCACAATGCTTGCACATGCAGCGCAATGAAGCTTCACCACACTTTTGAAGTTTGATTAGAAACTCACAAAGCTTTGATCTAGAGACTTAGGATCAATGCATCGAATCGCTTCCCTAACACACGAGAAGTTCACAAGTTATTGACAGAATCCCAACTCCCACAAATACACCAAGAAACCTTCCACATACAGTGAGGGAAACCGTCCTCTTGGCAGATTCGACAGCATACAACCCCACAGAAAACGACTCCTCAGCATAAGACCACTCACACGGACTCGTCAGCATACAAGCCTTCTGCGAACTTTGATCTCTCAGCATACGAGTCCTCACGTACTGTTTCGTCAGCATACGATCTTTCAGGACACTATGTTTCGTTAGTGTACGACCTTCAAGGACTCTATGCTTCGTCAGTATACGACCCCTCAGCATACGACCTCTCGGCATACACTACCTCACACACCGATTCGTCCGCACACGCCCCCTCACACACTACGACCACTCACCACACACCCACTCACCACACACCCCTTCACACACTCAGACCCCTCACCACACTCAGACCTCACCACACACACCCTCACACACTCAGACCCCGCACCACACCCAGACCCCTCACCACTCACCCCCTCACACACTCAGACCCCACACACTCAGACCCTCACACACTCAGACCCTCACCACTCACTCCCTCACCACACACCCCTCACCACTCGCCCCCTCACCACACACACTCAGACCCCTCACCACTCACCCCCCTCACACACTACGACACCTCACACACTACCCCCACCCCCACACCACACGCCCCCTCCATTTAGACCCACCCCACACCCGGGTTCCTCAGCACAGGATCAGAGGAGACACCACAGACCCCGCGGTATAGTACAGAAACGCCCGCAGACGCCGCCCATTCTGCTCACTTACTGACGCCCGGCTCTTACCATGTCTTATTGTGTTTCTTGTGTATCCTCCAACCCCGTTTTCCACCCGTTTGGACTGGACCTCGGACACGTGACTACAGCTGGTAAGATGATTTGTTTATCAAACCTTGCGAGTATATATATATATTTATATCAGCCGCTCGGGTCTTCCTCGCGGGGGAATCCCCAACGATGCAGGGGCTTCTACGTGTCTCTTTATCAGGATTTTTATTTATTTATTCATCTATCTGATTGTTATGCTACTTTATTTACCTTTTTTTCTTTTGTTTCATGTTTGTAAATATGAATATTTCGGTGAGAAGTATTTTTTTTTTTTTCACGAGACACGCCTCAGCACGCTGGGTATTTCCTCGCGAACCTGCTTATAGTTACTTAGAAACTTATGGCATGGGGGGGTTAATAGCAACGTTTATCTTACAGACAGGTTCAGACATGTTGGATGGCTGCGGTGTATATTTTCCTTATCTTTTAAGTTTACTCTCAACTTCCGAAAAATGCTGTGAAGAAAAAAAAAAATCTCATTCCTTTTTATTTTTAAAAAAAGGTGACATTTGCTTTATTCTTCCATGTCTGATCCTTCTACCTATATAAAAAAAAAGAAAATTATTTACATTTCTCTTTAGCATATGAACGGTAGCTATCTGATATTTTGTTTACTCTAAACAAGGTTATCTCTATTTTCTCTCATCTGTGTGTCAACATGATACACCATCGTAAGTTTTCGTTTATGGAAATTATCATTTTTCCTTTTTAATGTACATATGCCTGCTCTGATGAAGGAACTAAGCAATATTTATCTATTTATATACTTTTTCACCTGTCTTCATCTGAATATTAAATGGTTGAGTATAAGTGAATTTCATCCACTATAGTTTTCCAAAGAACAAAGGTTCTTTTACGTGAATATCCATGCCGCACTGTACTTTACATATCCTGGGTAATGTCTAAGTCCCCCCTCGCATATTTCGAAAACTGACTCGCGTTTTCTATAATTAAATCCTTTTCAAATAAGAAAAAAATTATAACGATTCCACTTGACGTGTTGTAGATGTGTAAGGTACAGAATGGGATGTAGTCGCATCACAAGTGTTATAGCACATCACAGATGTTGTGGCGCATCACAGATTTATTGTGGTACATCACAGGTGTCGTGACGTATCACAGCTCATTGTGGCGAATCACAGGTGTTCCAAAAGCAGAACTAAAAGGCGTAACGGGATTGCTTCTCCCCAAAACTTGTGCCGTGACGCGAGCAACACCGAAGGCTGCCACACTGCTGTGTCTTCTTAGATTAACATAGGAACTCCACTGTTATTTAGATCCTCTCTTTTAGATCTATTCGCATTTGCTTATTCTCAAGTCATGTTTGTTTGTTTCATAAGTCACTTAGAAAGTTGGTAATGTCATGATGTCATGTTGAATTTCACAAAGTCTTATCAGATTTCATTAGTGTTCAAAATCAGAATCTGACAGATTAATTCCAATCGATGATTAAAACCTGCTCCAGGGGATAGAAAGTAAAGTAATACGTAGTGTAGGATTAAATAATAATAATAAAAATAGCTCATAGTACCTAGATCTTTCTCAAATACTTTCTGAAGAGAAAGAAATAGAAGAAAGAGAATATGGAATATAAAAGTAATTAAAGCCCTCATCAACCAATAAACCAATCAATCTAAAGGACGAAGTGATAGACCAAATTGGGCTTGGCAAAAAACCAGCCCCGAGCTAAGAGGGCTCCTCGACCTCACCAGCTCGCCCTCTAACCTCCTCCTCCGACTTGCAGGAGAAGACGGAGCCCTACTTCCTCTTCATCTTCTGCGTGGAGGCATCCCTCAAGATCATCGCCCTGGGCTTTGTTCTCCACCCAAAATCTTACTTGAGGAACATATGGAACATGATGGACTTCGTGGTTGTGGTGACGG